GCCACTCAAGACCTGCTTGTGTGCAAGGCTCTTAGCTTCTGAGCTATTTTCTTTATCATCTATGGAAAGCTGATGATAGAATAATAACCTGGAGATTGCCCTCAAGCACAAATGGCAAACCTTGGAAATGCCTAGTGCCTAAAAATGACAAACTAGCTGTGGCTGTTGGTGTTTTCATTTTAGGGAGGAAAAGGCAGGATCAGAGAGGTTTTATGAGTTGCCCAGGGTCACACAGGGAACTGGTGGAAGAGACAAGTTTAGGACCCAGCGTCTCTTGACTTCTGGCTTAGCAGTCAACCCTGCATCATCACCCACCTGAGAGGGGGCCCCTCTCACTCCAGGAACTGGAAGATGTTAGCTGTGAAAGCACATACAGGGCTCGGGTCAGCAAGAGCAGCAGGGCCACAGGCACCCAGATTCCAGTAGGTGTGTGGATCTCTGTTTACCATTTACTGTGCGTGGGACCTGCTGTTAGTCACTTTGTGTCTCTGACTGAGCCTGTTTTTTCGTCTGTAAAATAGGATCAGAAGTTGGTTCATCTCAAGGGCTGTTAGGAACATCAGGTGAAATAGTTTGTGGATAGAGCATAGCACAGAGTACATGTTCAATAAAAGGCAGCTGGTACTTGTATCTGTTGCACTTGTTCAAGTGGCAGGCACACTGACCTCAGGAGTGGAAGAAATCCAGGCATTGTGCTCCTTCTTGCGAACGTGGCGGAAAGGTACACTTGAAAAACTTGCACAATATCCATCCTGTTTAATCACTGCCTAATGTCCCTACAGATATTCCCAGAGAAGTGGTCTCTGTTCACATGGTAGTTTGGGGGACAGGTGGGAAATACCAATTGTAAAATTGTTTAGTTCCTTTTGTCATCAGCATTGTGAAGAGTTGCAAGGACCTCTTGTGCAATAAATATGTGGGTAGCTGGACAAGAAGATCTGCTACAACCTAGTGATGACCCTGGTCTGCAGATAGCTGCCCTGCCACCCACTGTTACATTGGAAATAGTGAACTAACGCTGCTACCTGCCTTGAACACCAACTTTTCACCCAGTGCTCTTAGCTGACTTCCGATAAAACAAGTTCAGCCTGTTAAGTTTTATGCTGAACAACCCTTTGGTCCACATCAGGGCTTTTCTCCATATCATCTCTAGCGTCATGTTGATGACTCTGACTGCATTATGTGAAGCACAAATAAGTAATTTTTCCCATCCAGTCAGCACCATCCCATAAATCCTGTCGCTTCGTGTTTTCCAGGGACTCAACACAATCAGAGCAAGGTCGGCTTTTACCTCCGCTCAGGACTTCTGCAGAAAGTTAGAGTGCCCAATCACGGGGTCATGCCACCTGGAGATGTGTTTCTCTTCCTTGTAGTGAAGAGAACAGGGTTTTATTTTTGCGAAAATAGAGTTAACGTTGGCGAGACGCTAACAGCGCCTCTGCTTCTGCGCTGTTCTACGCTGCCAGAGGGCTGGTAGCATCACGGTTTTGCACTCCCAGGGATGGGATGGGGAAGTGTGTGTAAAATCTAAGGTTCCTATTACTGATCCTTAGCAGTTAATTAAGTCTTTGTAAATCTAAAGTACTCCTAGTCATCTTTTGTTAATTTCTGTTCCTAACTTCCCTGTGGGATGTCGACCTGATTACCCTCACTTTACCTTAGCATTATCAAGAGGTCAGGCAGATTTTAAATCTCATTTATTTCCCCATGTGTAATTAAGATTGCTTTTTCTTGATCATGTGCTTCACTTTAGCCTGTTTTTGCTAAAATGACAGCTCAGGTCAGATGCAACCCTCCACTGCCCTGACAGGAAAGCAATTACTGAACAAAGCTACATTTTAGGAGAGACTTCAGACCATTGCCATTCTAAAGGCTGAGCGCAAGGCCATAGGAATCAGACAGAAACTAATTAATAAAGCAGAAACGATAGCCTATGAGGGAGCTGGCTGAAGAAAAATTATACTGTTTTTCTCCCTTCTGGCCTATTATGAGACTTTCCTGGGATTTTCTGAGGGTGTTTGCTGAGATTGTTTGTTTGCTTGCTCTGTGTGTGTGCGTGTGTGTTAAACAAGGTTTCTCTAGGTGGTCCAGGCTCGTGTTGAATTGTGTAGCCCCGACTGGCCTCAAAATTGAGATCACCTGCCTCAGCTTCCCGACCGCTGAGATTTTCATGTGATTATTCATACAGGACAGGAGGAAGGAAGCGGTGACTAAATCAGTGATAAAAAGAGGTTTATCAACCTCGAGGGCAGACTTCTCTTCGTGGCTCTGTCTTGCTGCATCAGTCAGCAGTCTGTCACTGAGAGAGAGAAGAAGAGCAAACTTAAAACAGGAAAGATGTGTTTGGACTCATAATTTCAGAGGTGTTAGTGCACGGTGAGCTGGCTCCATTCCTTCTGCACCTGAGGTGAGTCAGACACATCACAGTGGAATGGTGTGGTGCGGGAAAGCAGAGAGAGAGGGGAAAAGCCAGAGAGGAAGGGGCAGGGGACAAGATACACCCTTCAAAACTGTCCCCTGGGCCCCGCCGCCTTTTCTTCATCCGCTCGCAGTGATGCCATCCGTGGGTCAGTCCACTGCCGAAGTCGGGGTTTCACTGTTCAGCCACCTTCTGGAAGCCCCACCCCTGAACACATGCTACTTTGCCGATGTTAAATTTCAACCGCGACACTTGCTGAATCACTGGATTTTCCTTTTCGCTTCTGACCTCTGATCCAGTCAGTTATGCACTTTCTTGCCTTTGATCATTCAGGATCTCGTTGGAAGCTAATGAGAAGTAGCATCAATAGGCCTGGCTGGTTTCTGAAGCATTAATAATCTGAAATTGCACATTCTTAACAGGATTAATGCACTTGTGAGCCATGACTGACCCACCGTCTTGTGACTACACTGAAATGTGTGATTTTAAAAAAATAATAATTAGAAGTATTTCTGTTGGAGTTTTTTTTTTTTTTTTTTTTTTAAATCTGGGCTCTTGGAAATCTCTTCCATTTTTTAGCTCCCCTGCAGTAGAATTCTTGTAGAGGTATTAATATTCTAGACCCTGTTATCTGCAATTCTGTTAGTCACAAAACTAACACCTGGAGATGAAACATCTCCAGAACCCTTATTTCAGTGAACGCCGCCCTCTCCCTCCAGCTTCACCTGCGCACTGCCCACTGCAGCCCCGTTCAGTTTCTCGTGCCCTCTTACCCTGGTTTCAGCTGAGCACAGTAGTGTTTAATCCCCGCCAACTGCCCTCTAACCCCTTGCCTATGCTGTGTCCTCCCACCAGCCTTTCCCTCCTGCAAGGGAAGCTTGTTCTTCAGCAAGGACCAAAAGTTCCTACCAGAGCCCTCTGTAAGCCTACAAAGCCTCCGATTGTCTACCGAGGACGTTCACACTCCACAAGGAGGGGCAAGGCTGTCTCCAAAGCCGCCCCAGGCTGTCCTGCCTCCAAGCCCAGCTGTACTCTGTGGCTTCCGTTCACACCCCAGCCACAGTAGACTCACCACTTCGCTTGCCTGACCTGCCTCCCCCGGGGTGCTTCCATTTAGTTGGGGTGTACCTTCAGGCCTGTGGTAATTCTCTGTTGTAGCTCAGCCTGCCTGAATCCTCTGGTGGTCCAGGCTCAGCCCCAGGCTCACTCTTCTGTGCCCTGATCTGCCTGTCAGAATCAGTGTCCTAGCCCCTATCCTGCAGCACTTTTTGGTACCAACTTAGACCAGTAATCTGCGTGGCACTTTCTGCCTTGTGTTATGGTTTGGATTATGAATGTCCTCCAGATGCTCCTGAGGTGAAGGCTTGGTTGCCAGTTTAGGAGATAGTGGGACTGTTTAGGAGGCAGAGCCTAAAGGAAGTTAGGTCACAGGGGGCGTGGCTTTCAAGGGGGTATTGGGATCCCAGCCCCTGCCTATCTCTGACTGCTTCCCAGCTGCTATGAGGTGAGTGACTTCTCTGTACCCCATGCCCTCCATCATGCTATGCTGCCTCCCCACAGACCCCAAAACAAGCCAACTAATCATGGACTGAAAGCCTGAGACAAACCTTTCCTTTCGTATCAGTTAATCTCAGGTATTTTGTTACAAAAATACACAGAAAGTTAACACATCTTGTCCTTTAGGTGTTTGCAGCAGCCTCTCTCTTCCATCATAAGCGCCAGAATGTGGCAGCCCTGTCTCTGGAACTTTGTGTCTTTTTCATTCCATAACTTGGTACTTTGTAGGAGGCTAAGTTAAAATGGTAGTGTTAAAGGTTATGCATAACAGTAGCTCTTAGACACCTATGCATCTCCAGTCAATTTGTGCCCATCACAGTTTTACCGAATTGGATGTATTTTGTCACCCATAAATTCAGCAGACTTCCTGAGCATCTGGGCCCATGACAAAGGCAGGCCTCAGTTCTTGTGGAATGTATGTTCTATGGGAAGGAGATCAATGATGCAAAAGCAGTTTTAGATGATTACACGTGCTGTAAAGAAAACAGGGCAGAAGTTAGGGTAAGGGGAGCTCTTTAGATATGATAATGAGAAGAGACCTGTCCAAGAAGGGGACAGCTGAGCAGACAGTAACGTTGGAAAAGCTGCAGCCCCGTGAGGACCTGGGGGACCCCGAGTTACCCTGCAGTGAAAACAGCATCACTAAGCACTCGACATCTTTAAGCAAAGGAGAATTCTGTGAGATTGGAGTGTAGAATCAACGGCATTATAGTGGGCAGCTGAGACCAAGTCACGGAGGTGCCAAGTCTGCACTGAAATATCGGAAATCAATACCAGCTGTGTCTGTGAACGATGTTTATGCTGAAGTCATGTGAGTGTTAAATGCACGGTTGTCTACGTCTGCTTTCCTGGCTGCTCCAAATCCAAATGGGAGGAGCATCCTGCCCTCAGAATCCAGGGCTGGACTCGGGAGGCTGAGGCAGGAGGATCGCTGTGAGTTCAAGACCAGCCTGGGCTACGTAGTGAGTTCCAGGTCAGTCTCAACTACATAGTGAGAACCTGTCTCAAAGAAAACACAAAAAGAAAAAGGAAAGAAACCAGGGCTGGAGGCATAGGTCCATGGTGGAGTGCTTGCCTAGATGTGTGAGGCTCTAAATTCAGGAGATTGATCCTCAGCACTGCCAAAAGCACACGATGACAGAACTGTGAAGTCAGCACGAGGCTTGTCCAAGGCGTGCTGGTGTGTCGGTCTCCCCACCTTTTGTGTAAGTGCAACTGTGGCAATTGCTCCATGGAAGCTTTGGAGCCCATCCATCATCCGCTACACCATTTTGTTCAGTTTGCTTAAGATTTTTTACTCCTCACACCCTCGGCCCCTGGGACTGTCACATGGTGAACCTTGTCTTCAATCGTCACACCAGTACTTCCACACGAATGACCTGATTAGCCTCCCTGGAAATCCGATGCACTTTACACTGGTAGCCAGGAGAACTGGTTGAACTCTTTGTAACCCTGCGCTTGTGAGAGATATAATCATGGTACATGGAAATGTCACGATACCAGATCTGTAACCTTTAGGGCTTGGAGGACAGGAAACTGAGACTCAACATCTATGGATTGCCCATATTATGTCCGATCCTTTAGGAGGGACTTTTTAATACTTTAACCTGCTTGATTTTCATAAACCCTTGAGCTTTTCATTACATTTGTTGTTGTTGTTGTTTTGAGCCAGGGATTGAACTTGGGACCTCAAGCTTGTGAGGCAGACGGTGGAACCACTGAGCTAAATCCCCAGCTTCCTTGAGCTTTTCATCAGATCCACTTTCTGGATTAAGAAATGGGCACAGAGTGATTTACTAATCCAGCCTTATACCACTGGGAAATAAAGCCTGGAGTCCATTCGATTTCCTCATTCAAAGTCTATGTTTTGAGGCTTAAGAGTGTGGACTGCTGGGCCAGCCTGCCATTTGGTGTGACTTCGGGAAAGCTGGGGGAAGTTATTTACTCTCCCTGTGCTGTATTTTCCTCAGCCAAAAGGTGGGAATGCTTGTAGTACTTTCCTGATAGGACTCTTGAAAGGATTAGATCCCTTGTGTGCATGCAAAGTGCTCAGCATGCCGCCTGGCACCTAGCAGCAAGCGCTGTGTCTGTTCTCTGTTCTTCCCACTGTGCCGTGCTGCTCTTTGAGAAATCTTGGCATTTCTGTAACAACGTGGCATGCAACTTGCAGAGAAAAGTGAGGTAGAGAGGCTAAGTGTCTTGGCCCAAGTTCACATCACCCTTTAAGGGCAAGGCAAGACATCTGCCCGGAGTTCTGGCCTTCTGTATTTGTTTTTTTTCTGCACCTGCACCTGACTTCACATTCACACCTCTTAGTGACATGTGAGCCCCAGGCCAGGCTGCTCCCTCCAGTGCCTGGCTCCACACTCATTCTCATTCAAGTCCACTTACAGGAGTGGGTGCCACAGCTGGGAGGCAGCAGCGGGCAGGCTCTTGTTTGCTTGCAGTCTCTCTGCCTAGCCACACCTGAGTGTTTCTGTTGCCCTGAGGAAGTGTGGGTGAGGGCGCATGCATGCATGTGTATCTATCCCAGTGCTTCTGAAGACTTGCATGCTTCCGGTTTCATCTCTCTCCTCACGTGGAAGGAGTTGGGCTTCTGGGGTGAGACGTGTAGGCTGCTACATAAAGGAGTTTTATTCCCCCCCCTCCTTTTAAAATAAATAAGGGGTTAATAAAGCCGTATCAAGCCACATTATGGTGAGCCACTTTAAATAAAAGATGTTGGAAGCTTTCTTTAGAGTTCTGTCTTTGATTTTCTGGAGCAAGAGGGAAAAGGCTTGAATGAATTATTTGCAAAAATGCCCTAGCCTTCCAAGAATTGACCGTAGTACCGTACATTTGAAAATTGCTCTGTGGTTTTTAGAGCACATTCAGGGATGTTATCTTACTTCACCTTCACATTGACCTGGTCAGTTAGAGAGGGACAGGTATTACTGTCCCTGTAATACATAGGAAACAATTTGAAGCCTAAGAAGTGAAGAGGTGTGGCCAATATCACATAGCTACAGCTGGAACCCAGATCTGAGGTGCATGGCCTTTGAGGCTTTTTTGTTTTCGTCATTGTTCTAGGGATGAAACCCAAGGCCTTGCACGTGCTAGGCAGGTGCTATGCTCTAAGTAGAATCCCCAAACGTGCTTTTGTTCATGTGAGCACAAGATTAGGGTGAGCCACATTTGCATTTGAATCATATTAATACCGCATACTTCTTTCTTACAGGTCTAGTTACCTTCTGACTGCCACATATGGACTCCCAAAGATCTCCAAAGGAAACTGTCCTTATTACAGGAGGAGTTGGCTACTTTGGTTCCCGGTCAGTACATGGGTAGCATATGCCCACAGAATTACTTTTCTGGTAACTGTAGTTGTTGGAAAAATTTTTCTGGTGGTATCCAACCAGAAATGAATGATGTTGCCCACTCCCCAGACATTGAAATCGCGAACCACAGATATACTCTTTATCAAGAAAAATTATTTGTAAATCCAACAAATTGAGGAGTGGTGATGGTCACATCACTGAAAATAACTTAAAATAATAGCTATTAAAAAATAAAATAATAGCTACATTTTTACAGTTAAGTCACTGTCATTTAAGTAGATCAGAGGATTCTTGTTTTATGAAATTCAAATAAATAAGACTTGTGAACTTTTAAAGTAGGAGACTCCGGAGGAGGCAGGAAGGCTTGCATCAGCCTCGTCTTGGTTGATAAATTCTTCCGTACACTACTAGGCACAGTGTAAGGGTGACCTGCTCTAAATTCTAATGTCCTTCATTTCAGCCTCGGCTGTGCTCTGAGCCAGAAGGGAGTCCGTGTGATTCTGTTTGATATCAGCAGCCCTGCTCAGACCATCCCACAAGGAGTCAAGTTTGTGCGTGGAGACATCCGCCACCTTTCTGAGGTAGAGAGAGCCTTCCAGGACTCAGACGTCTCGTGTGTGTTCCACGTTGCCTCCTACGGCATGTCGGGGCGGGAGCAACTGAACCAAGACCTGATCGAGGAAGTCAACGTGGGTGGCACCGACAACGTCCTACAGGCCTGCTTCAGGAGAGGGGTTCCCAGACTGGTGTACACGAGCACATTCAATGTCATCTTTGGAGGCCAAGTCATCAGGAATGGAGATGAGTCCCTGCCTTACCTGCCGCTTCACCTGCACCCCGATCACTACTCTAGGACCAAATCTATTGCAGAGAAGAAGGTGTTGGAAGCAAATGGTTCCACCTTGGAAACGGGGGATGGTGTCTTAAGAACCTGCGCTCTGAGGCCTGCTGGCATCTATGGGCCTGGAGAACAAAGGCACCTTCCCAGGATAGTGAGCTACATCGAAAGGGGCCTGTTCAGATTTGTGTACGGTGACCCCAGCAGCCTGGTCGAGTTTGTCCATGTGGATAACTTGGTGCAGGCGCACATTCTAGCCTCAGAGGCCCTGAAGGCTGACAAGGGCCACATTGCCTCAGGGCAGCCCTACTTCATCTCAGATGGCAGACCAGTGAACAATTTCGAGTTCTTCCGACCTTTGGTTGAGGGCCTGGGCTACAAGTTCCCATCCACCCGCCTGCCGCTCACCCTGATCTACTACTTTGCTTTCCTGACAGAGATGTCCCACTTCATCCTGGGCCGGCTCTACAACTTCCAGCCCTTCCTCACCCGCACTGAAGTTTATAAAACTGGTGTCACACATTACTTCAGCCTAGAGAAAGCCAAGAAAGAGCTTGGTTATGAGCCTCAGCCATTTGACCTGCAGGAAGTAGTAGACTGGTTTAGAGCCCACGGTCATGGCCAAAGTCCTGGAAATGGAGACTCAGTGTTTCTTCTTTGGAATGGGCTGTTGATCTTACTCTTGGTGCTATCAATTTTCACCTGGCTACCAACTACTGTGCTTCTGTCAGTGTGAACAGTAGATGTAAGTTTCTGATCATACTTGCTGGAATGATTCTCAGGAACACAGATTTGTTTTGTTTTGGCTTGGTTTGGTTTTGGTATTTTGAGACAGGGTCTCAACTATGTAGTTGAGACTGACCTGGAACTCACTGTGTAGCCTAGGCTGGTCTCAAACTCAGTGATCCTCCTGCCTCAGCCTCCCGAGTGCTGGGATTACAGGCGTGTGCCACCATGCCCTGCTTAGATTTTAAAATATATATAGTGTTACCCCGTGCTACACTTCGGCTTTCCAAATTACTGCTTAAGAATAGGTTCTTCAATTAAATTTTTCTCTTCTTGTTTTTCCCAGCTGATCCTGTTGGGAAAAAAGGAGAGACATGTATCTTAGTTACTTTTCTTGTTGGGGACTAGGCTACATAATTCAGATTTCACAGTATGGAGATTGCTATTATCTTGCCTCAGGGACAGGGAAGTATGCAGAAGGCTATATTTCCGCTGGCTATGGAAAGAATGCTGATAAAATGGCCCTCCTGAGGCAAGACAGCATCTGCTGAAGACAGTTGGCAGTATACCGGCATTTGGATGTAGAGCAAAATCCGGTTTCTCATTGATTTAATCCTTATCCACCCATTCTCTATAGCTGCTGTTCTATGAAACTCGGGCGACCCCTCCCCCTCCCCCTGGGCGTTTCACTGTCCAATAAAAGGGGCCAACTGAAGAGCTTTATGCAGATTTGTCCATTAGAGGCAGGCCTCCTCCTGATTCCCCCTTTATATCCTGAAAATTGTCTCTGTCTCTTTCTTTTTATTCCTCCTCATTCCCCACAAAATGTAGCTGACCCCTTTATCTTACCCAGACTAATCAGATTAGGGCAGTGCCAAACCAATCAGTGAACTGATTTAGTAATCATACACACAATCCCAGCGTCACACACTCTAGATTCAGCCACCTCTAAAAAAGCCCCATGACTGCGTGAGGCTTTGGGGGAACATCTAGACACTTAGACACAAACCATAACAACACAGACAAGTTTGGGTGTTGGTTCCTCCTGTCCTGTCTTAAGTAGGTGCCATAGAAGCCATGTGGAGATATAGGGAAAGACTCAGTTGAGTAGAAAATAGCTTGAATATCTCAGAAGTCAAAGATGCACCTATTTCTATTTCATACACATAGAGTGTAGAGTGTACATAAATGAACAAACTAAGACTGATATTGGGAGTGGCAAAAGTCTAACAGTCTTGAAAATATGAAAAACACCAAATTGGGCCAGATTTCTAACAGACCAACCCTCAAGATGGTAGCCGTTGCAGGGAAACATAGTTGTGCACAGCATAAGCTCTCAAAATGAACTTTTGCACTTCATGATAAACTACATATAAAGGGGGCAGAAGAATGCTTTTGAGGTCCCTTGTTGCTTTTGCTACCTTCTGTCCTCCAGGAACTGTTTCTCCTCTGTGATGACCCTCTGCTGTGCTACTCCGCATTGGAGCCAGCCAACTATGAACTGAAACCTCTAAGAAGTGTAAACCAAATAAACCTTTACTCCTTTAACTCTGAGTGTTGGATATTTTTTCTCAGCAATGAGAGAAAATATTGAGGGCTGATTAGACTCTCAGCAACATTTTGAAGCTGAGGAACATGATGGAATCCCAACATGGAAAACAAACGGAATCCATAAAACAGATGCAAACAGATATCCAGGAGATCAAAAGCTTCATTAATAGTTTACACAGCAGAATGAACAAATGTGAGGACAGAATATCAGATATAGAAGACAGGATTGCAGTTAGTGATCGGAAAAAGAAAAATTTCTGAATAATAATAAAGGATCATGAGAAATCTAGCAGCTGCTAGATGCAAAAAAGAATAAGACTGATTGGAGTCAATGAAAAAACAGGAGAGAGTGCAAATGACATTAAAATATCTGTTCACAGAAGTAATGGCTGAAAACTTCTCAATCAGGGGTAAAGAACTTGACATACAGATAAATGAGGCATATAGGACTCCAGCTAGCCATGATAAAAAAAAAAAAAACTACACCTAGGCATACAATAGTTGAGATTCCAGAAACCCAACAAAAGAACAAAATTCTACAAGCAGTTAGTGAAAGGAAACAAATCACATACAAAGGAAAGCCCATCGGAATCACAGCAGACTTCTCAACACAAATCCTCAAGGTAAGAAGTTTGGAGTGACATATTTCAAGCCCAAAAGGAAAACAACCTCCAACCCAGAGTGATGTACCCTACAAATCTATCTTTGAAAATTGGAGAAATATTCCTTCAAGACAACACCTTAGGAACTTCATGACTACCAAACCAGCACTCCAAAATCTAGGAAAAGACAATGAGAATCATAACGCAAGGAAGCCTATAGAAAGAATCTATCAGGCACAACAAGAAATTAAATGCAAAGGGAGAGAATCCAATAAAAAGAAAAAGTCATGACAAGAATAAGTCAGTACATATCAGTTATAACCATCAACGTTAATGGTCTCAATTCACCAATCAAAAGAAATAGTAGACTGGGTCAAGAAGCAGGATCCAACATAAACTGTATACAAGAAACACAATTCAAAAAGAAACTCACAGACTGAAAGTTAAAGGTTGGAAAACAATACTCCATGTGACAAGAACCCGAAAAAAAACAGGAGTAGCTATCCTCTTTACAGATGAAATGGATTTCAAATCGACACTAAGACAAAGAAAGACACTACATCCTTGGAAAAATCCAAAAGCAAAAGATGACAATCATAAATATATATGCACCAAATACTAGTGCATCCAACTATAGAATCATGTTTACTTGAATTGTATTTATTCAAATCGTGTGTATTTGGGCTGTGTGTCTTTAAGTCATCTAATGCAAATTCTCTTGTTCTATAAGAAAATTAAGAAAGTGATATTTTTTCCCTCAGAAAATAACCCAACAGGGCAGGAACCACATCTATTTTGTCGAAATTTTATATTCAGAGAACATAGAACAACTCCTCTACCTACTCAATAAATGGCTGTTGACTGGGTGGACACATTTATTCACCATGTAGACTCTTATCTGAGATTACAGCTGATTTTTAATTATCCTTTCCTCTTAACCTGCAACTCTCAGCTATACCTAATAAAAATATTCAAGGCCCAAGTTAAAAATAGGAACTCCAAAGAAGTGACCTCATGCAAATGGCAAAGCACAAAGCTTTAGAATTGGTCCTTTCACTGTAACAACCAGACAACTAGGGAGTGTGTGAGTGTGTGTGTGTGTGTTGGGGGTTCAGAATTTTTTATCATAAATGTTTTACTACAAAGGAATGGAAGATACATACCTATATACAGACTCTAAACTCTTCATGTGGCAATTCTGATTCAGAAGTCTGTGTTAACTAGGAACCCACACTCTGGGAGTTTTTCATCTTCCAGCAAGAAGGGGAAGATGCTTCCAGATACCAAACACTCCCTTGCAAGTTGCCAAGTAAGAGAACTGAATTCTGCGTGGCTCTTCTCTAGCAGTGCTTTGCTACAGCAGGTGCTGTGTACGTTTTTACTGAGTGTCGAAGGGACAACAGACTCAAAGGACTTAGACTCATTGCCCTTCTGTTGCCTCCTTTATGCAGGGCCTGATTGTGTGCCACATCCCAGTGTGGATTTTTCCAGACCTCTGAGGAGAGCCCCATCATTTGGTCAAAGGGCTGCCCCACCCGCCCGCCCCGTACTGGGAATCAAACTCTGGACCTTGAGTTTGCCAGGTAGGTTCGGTGCTGCTGAGCTAAATCTCCAGGCCCAAAGGGCTTTTTTTTTTTTTTTTTTTTTTTTTTTTTTTTTTTTTTTTTCTCCCTTCTT